TTTTTTTTTACCATCGAGCTTTCATTCAGCCAATTCAGGTTCACTGGGCACCTGGATGCATCAAGATGTTTGCCACTGTCAGTCCTTTCCTCGCAACTCACACTTAATATCAGCACATCTGCTTTTATTTTCCATCAGTTTTCATTGGGAAAAACATAATTAGGTAGAACATCCAGACAATTGCACAGACCCTGCTCTGTGACAGACAGCCAAAGTTGAACACCTGGCTGACAGCTGTCAGTCGATGCATGCAAGCCTGAGTGGTATGAAAACAAGACGCATGAGTGTGACAGGCCAGCTGTGGGGTCAGCAGAGGGCAGGGGGCTCGGGGACGTGGAGGGGTGGTGTCGTCCGCTCTCCTATGTGTACTGGGCTGCAAAGTAGCTCCGTGCACGCATGTGTGGGGGCACCATGTGAGTTGTCCTGCATGGTGGTGTCTCACAGTCTGGTCTGGCNCCCTCAGGGAGACAGAAGCCAAGGCTCAGCAGGCCATGTCACAGACTTCATTTGTGGGAGGTGTGCTTCCTGAGGGCACTGCAATGCACCCAGCCTCCCAGGCGTCTCCATGGGCCCTCAAGACGCCACGATGTCTGGGCCTGCTGGGCAGGAAGAATCCCCCACAACCCCGTGCCTTTCTGTCTTCTGGAAGGCGAGGCACATGCGTGGCTGCTCNTCAAATATTAAGATGTAGACCAGAGGTGAAGTGTAAAAAATAAAAACTTGTAGGTCATTTCTTCCCAGCTCCTGTCCTCCCCCTCACCTGTCTGGGGTTCCACACGCTTCCTTTCAAGTGGAGCGTCCAGCCCCTCCAGTCTGGGGGCTGAGTGTTGACCCATAGTTAAAAAAGAAATCTCATGATTTCCTCCATCGCTTCACCTTACTTTTCAGACNCCTTGTCAAGGCAAAGATGAATCCGGTTGTACACGGAGTTGTCTGAGTGCTGGGGACTGTGCTGTAGGCAGGTGCAGCAGGACATCAGCACAGAGACACTGCCTTGGAAGGAGAAAGTGTCTCTTGGGTCTGTCAGGAGGCAGAGGATCAAGGGGAACGCCTGGGCACAAACCTTCATACACACCTTTATTGTGTCTTCTGGGGGAAGGCGGGCAGTGCAAACAGTTTAGGATCAGTGAGTTTGAATGACTGCTG